GAGATCAATCTTGCTGTTAATGACCTGCCTTATTCGCTCCAAGAATCCATGGCAACCCCTGTAGCTGCCGAATGGAAAGAAGCAATCCGGAACGAGATACGCCCTCATGTGAAGAATCAAATATTGTCACGCCTCGCGGGAGAAAAGTGATTATTTCGATATGCTCGAAAGTATGATGAGCGTGGTAACGGGATACGACACAAAGCTCAACTAGTGGCCCGCGGATTCCTCCAGATACACGGTGTTGATTACTTCAATACCTACTTACCTGTGGCTTGCATGAACACCATTCGAACGTTTCTGTCTATATGCTGTGCAAAAGACTATGCGATTTGGCAGTATGACGTCGAAACGGCATTCCTCAAACGGTGATCTTGAAGAAACCGTCTACATGCATCCTCCGGAGGGTATCAAGGTCGAACCTGGCATGGTATGTGAAAATCACCGCAGCTTGTATAACCTCAAACAGGCTGCATCAGCATGGTTCAAGAAGATCCGGTTAGTCTTTATACAACTCGGGTTAGCCGATGCCGTGCTGATACGTGCTTTGATGTTCAGAAGACAACGTCGGCGAGAGTGTGTTGTTAACGTGGTGCTGTATGTGGATAATTTGCTTGTTGGAAGCAAGACACAAGCCATTGCTGACGGTTTCTGCGACGAACTGTGAGAGCATTTTGTGCTTAAGCCGCTCGGTTTCGCCCGATATGTGGTTGAAAAGGAGATTACCTTCGAGCAAAATAAAGGACAATTGATCTTAAAGCAAAGCCAGTTTATTACTAAGATATCAACCAAGTTCGGTTGCCTCAATGCTATCGCCGTTTTCAATCCACTGGTTAACTTCACCATTGATGCGACACATGAAGCCTTTTCGGAGAACTTGTTGGCTCTCTGCTATATGTGGCAAATGCAACCCGGCCTGACATCTCAGTTGCACTCTCGAACCCGTCCCAGTACCTTGATCGACCTACGTCTGCTCATTGGCGCGCCGCCAAACGTGTGCTGTGTTACCCAAAAGGAGCGATTAGGGTCGGTATACGATACCACAGGGGCAATGGTGATGCGGGGTTACTCCAGGTATTCAGCGATGCGAGAAAACTAGGTAGGGACAAAGCAAGTCGACGATCGACGTCTGGCGTACTTGTGATGCTGTGTTGGTCCTGTCGTATACAAGAGCAAGCGTCAGTCTTCAGTTGCCCTTTCATCCGCTGAAGCCGAATACATGGCACTCGCTCTTTCCGTACAAAAGGTGCTCTGGATCCACTATCTCCTCGGTGAAATTGACCTGAAGGCGACCGGTGACACGATCATTCTGATGGACAACACGTCAGTAATTATTATCGCAAGCAACCAATGATACACGCCACGCGCCAAGCACATCGACTTACGGGCACACTTTGTACGTGGTTACGTTAAATAAGGCTCTATCCGCTTGCAGTATGTCCCGACCGAGTCACAGCTGGCCGACTTCCTGACGAAGCCGCTCCCGACACCGCGTCTTGTTTACATCCGACAGTTGTGTGGTCTCACCGAGTGATCGAGTTGTAGGGGGTGTCGAACCATACCACGCTGGCGGCAACTCATCACCCATCGGTGAATTCAACCTTGATTACGGTGTGCCGTAAAATTAAAGCTCTGTGGTTTACGGCATTCTGGGTGTGCTGACCGTAATTCTGCTGTTTGGTTTACGGTCCTTAGCCGTGAACACTGCTTCTCTACACGGTGACCCCCCCTTGAGTTGCATGCATATGTAGGAAACCAAAATCTACGAAATCTCACTTTCCAATTCGTGCTCCTCTGCTCACTTCTGCTTCAAGTTTCTCATCATTCGTTAAACCATAGACTTCCAGAATAATTAATAACAATTGTGTTTCTGAGCGACTGATGCTAGCCGCCAAAACTTCTGTATATCACGTCGCGGCGAGGTGTCCTTGATGAAAAAGGGATTTTGTTAGGTACTCATTATCAACCCAATCGCGCTTTTCACAGTCAATTTAGTGATGCCAGAGGGGACGACGTCGGTGACAAGCTTGTTTGATTTTATGCAGAGGATTTACTGAGGCAGAGTTCTGAATGAAAAATGTTGATATCACAGATTCAGTAGAAACATAGTGTTGCCGAGGCGAAGAGGCTAGCGTGATCAATTGTGAATCGCATTGTGATTGTGTGCTTTAATTATTTCGTCTATAACGAAGATAACACAGATACTCATTGATGTCTATCATGCTATCTAGTTCTTGTTATCACTGAACCTTTGTTTTATTGTGTCCTTCATCCAGTTGTATCTTGTTTGTACTATGGAAGACCAATAGGTCATCTCTATAAAAAGACAAAGATTCGATTTTTACAATTTTTAAAATATTTTTTAGTACTAAACACCATGTTTGCTGTAGAGATAAATTTGCTCTATTGACCTCCTTTCGAGATAAAACCCCGGTATCCGAGTTTTAATTCTCGGCAAAAAAAGCAGGTGAAGGGTCGCTTCGAAATCAGTGAATTTTAAAACGTTTTTTGCACGCGCTTGCGATGACCGATGACATCTTCGAAGCTTCGTTCTTCTATTGTGCCATCAACCAGCAATACCTTTGCTGTTTCCTTCTTCCGCGTACAATCTTTTTGCTCAGCCTCGAGTAGATACGTATGAATGACTGATTGGGTACAAAGAACCTTCGACATGACGAGCCCATACGGCCGCAGATGACCATTATCCCGATGAAGCATGGTCTTAAAATTTAGTGCCAACTTACAAAATCTTTCATGCCGTATGTCAGAATTCTTTCCGTCCAACAAAACAGCTGGCTGACATCGGAGACTAAAATTGGAGGTTCTTGTCGTGATACGACTTCATGCGTTGGAGGTCCACTTAGTTCATCTTGCGCCTTCTTTCGAAAGACTCCTTAGCGCGATAGATATTGCTGAGCCGCTATCTTCGACATTTTGCACTGTGGGTCCAATGTAACGTCATCTGCCATGCACAGGACATAGCCAAGCTACATTACAATAGAATGGGTTCTGTTGTTGTACGCAAATTCTGCTAAGCAAATAAAGGCATTCCTGTCATTCTAAGCTGGGTTGGCAACACTTTAATTAAAGACTTCAGCAAACCGTTATTCGCCCTTTTTGTCCGTTGGTTTGTGATCTAGACGCAGATAGTAGGTATGACCAATTTCACATCAATATTTTTAACTCTATTGCTTAAGACATGTTCTGAGTCTTCAAAATCGACGTCACTAAACCCCACAACCTCGACGTGAGCTTAGAATCACTATTAGCTATGATCGTGTTCTGGGATTAGCGAGATCTTCAACAGTTGCAGTCGTGAACGTTTTACTGAACTTGGCATGCTTAGTCTGTCGATTAACGATGGCCATGATTGCGACATTTCCGTTTTTAGACCCCTGTAATACCATCTAAAAGTTTATGAAACACGGAGTGGACTATTTAGTCCGGGCGGTTTCGTATGCCTGGCTTTGTCGCGCCAACATGTCTCACACTTGTTAAATCAGCGCAAGATGTACTTGATCACACGAGTTCAATAGTCAGCTGTGGGTTTTAAGCACGTAAACTGTTGGGATTACATCGCTGAATGACGTCACCATATTTACGACCACGTCACAATAAGTAATTACATAATGGTTGGTGTTCATTGGTATAAATCAGAAAGCTTATAGAAGTTTGTAGAAAGATCTAGAACGATAGGCCTAGATGTAGAACAGAGTAGGGAAATAAGGACCTAAATATATTCACTTCGGTTTTAACTTCTACTCAACAGGCTAACAGCCGCACCAACCCTTTCTCTATAAGCAACGTTCTCGCCCACTATGGCCAACAAGCGAACCGAAGTCCTCCTAGAGAATGATAAATATTACCACTGTGAGTTAAACATTAGGATGACCCTGACGCGGAGGGCCTCCTTGGGCACATCATGACCGTCAACGAAGAGAATGAGATCACGGAGGCCTGGCTGGTAAATGATGCCAAGACGCTCGGCATCATCGCTCAAGGCGTTGAGATCCAGCACCAGACCAAAATTCGATCGGCTTCGCACGCCAGGGAAGCATGGGGAACCCTCCGCGATTTCTACCATCGTTCGACTCTTCACAACCGTGTGGTGATGACTCGTCAACTGCACGAGTTTAAGATGGATAGTGGAACTATCATAGCAGAGCATCTGAATTCTGTTGTTGAGCTGGTAGTGGGACTCCAGACTACGGGAGGGTCAGTTGATGAGTCACGTCAACTGGTTGCTCTTATCAGTAATCTGCCGTCAGAGTATGACTTCATTTCGTTGATTTTGGACAATGCAAAAGACATCACGTTGATTGGAGTCAAGGAGAACCCGCTCAAAAAATCGGGATAGTTGCAAAGGAAGGAAGCTACGGAGAAAGCGTTTCGCGTAGATGGAAACGATAGAAGATTCAAAGGTGGACTGGACAATGGACGAAAAGGTGGGCCTCCACGCAATAACGGCGGATTGAATGGCAAGTCTTTTAACCGTAACCAGTTTGGGCACAGGAAGCGGAACTGTCCGGCCAGTAAGAGGTCCGACAGCGACGCACGGTTTGCTGTTGGTAAAGGAAAGACATCAGGATGGCTGATTGACAGTGGGGCAACTTCCCACATGACCCCACACAGGATGGACTTGTTTGATTACAAGGGACTTGAAGCTAGCTTTGAAGTTACGATTGCAGATGAGGAGAAGTTGCTCGTTAAAGGAACTAGCACGGTGAAACTAACTGAAATGAACGGAACGGACATTCACATGGTCAGATTTTTGCACATTCCCGGACTTGACAGAATATTACTATCCGTTGGCAAGCTTGCAAAGTGTGGTATGAGTGTGGATTTTTCGCGGTTGTCTTGCGTCCTCGGGAACAAAAAGCAAGCGAATGCGTCAGGTGCAAGAGTCGGGAAGTCGTATTTGCTTGACTGTGAGCAAGAGGAAGCATGTCTCGTTGAATATTCTGGGGCTGAAAATCAGTGGGAGCTTTGACATGCTCGCATGGGACACCCCAGCAGGACGCGCTGGTCAAGACACAACGCTCAACAAAAGGAATCCCAACAATCAAGCAGAATAGGGAAACGTTGTGTGCTGGGTGTTCAAAGGGCAAGCAAATAGTCACAACATTTCCATCTAGCTTGATGACAAAAACGACACGTGTGCTGGAACGCGTACACACTGATGTCATGGGGCCTATGAGGACTCCCTCGAAGGGTGGTGTCAAGTACATTCTTACGTTTGTGGATAATTTTTCAAGATATGTGGCGATTTTTATTATCAAGAGCAAGAATGAAGTTGCTGGCAAGTTCAAGAAGTTCTTGACGTATTTCGAGAACCAATGGGGTGCGCGATTGAAGTGTTTACGATCTGACAACGGAACCGAATTTGTCAACAAGACAATGGCTGAAATATGCCAGCAGAACGACATTGTATACCAGCGTTCCGTTCCATACAGCCCTCAGCAGAACGGAGTGGCGGAGCGTATGAACAGGACTATCATGGAGAA